GGGAAAAAAATGTTAAATTCTTGAAACAAATGAAAATAGAAACTCAACCTTCTAAAACGTATGGGTTATGACAAAGAAGTAGTACTAAGAGGTAAGCTTTTGGCAATAAATATCTATATAAAGAATAGAAAGATTTTTAAATAAATGACCCAATGATGCATCAAGAAACTACAAAATTAAGAAAAAAACCTAACCCAAAATTAATAAAAAGAAATAAATAATAAAGATCAAAACTGAAATAAATGAAATTTAATCCCTATCCCTTTGTTAATTTTTTGAGTCTACTTTAATATAAGAAACTAAAAGAAAAGTCCAAGCTCAAATGGTCCATTTCTCAGAAATCATGTGACCAACTGTTCTGGGGTGGGGGGTTGGGTTCCTAGGCAATGGGAGAGATCCACCCACACCAATGATTGGTTCATACTGTTCTATCTCATTTGCATTTTGGGCAACCAATCGGTGCCCCCCAGCCTGTATATAACTCGACATTCTTCCTCAATAAACAGAAGACTTGAAGACTTGATCAGCACCTTGTCCTGTCTCCACTCTGTGTGCTTGTGTTTGTCCCTTCTCTCACTGCCTCCCCCAGTTCGACTGTCCTGAGGGTTGGGACAATGGAGCCATGATATTTTCAGACTACAGTTGATCATAGCTAACTGAAACCACAAAATGCAACAATTCAGATAAAGGGAGACTGCTGTAACTGTAGCTGAGTAGTTTTATCGGTCTGTTTACTTCCTATAGAATTTGTTTTTCTTTTTCTTTTTCTTTTTTTGGAGAGGTTTTTGCTATAGGGTGCATGCGCTCACCAGAAAGACAGAGAGAGACAGAGAGACAGAAAGCGAGAAATCACACCCCAGGGGGGATGGCCATGCTGCAATCCCTTCTCCTCCATTCTCTTCTCAGGACCTTGGGCATGCATGCACATGCGCCCAGCATGAGGTTAAGCCACTGGGTCCAGGACTCGAACCACTGTGGACTATATGGGAGTCCAGCGACATAGCCATTACACTAACTGCTGGTCCCAATCCTCCCTATAGAATGTTTGGAATCTTGAAAGCCTTTTTCATTTTGTTCTGGTTCTTCCTCTTTCAGTGCATGATGGTGGTGCTCATAAAGCAAAAACCTTTAAAAGTCTTTCTTTGAAAACTTATTTGGGTCTTCCATATATCTGATGAGTGTTCACATTATAAAGAAGGTGCTTCAAAAATCTTCCCTGAATAATTCTATCTTTATGCCTAACTGATGAGATTTTTAGGGACTACATTGAGTCACTTGTGTAATTGCTTCAGTAACTAGCAAAAAGTTTGGCTTTCTCTTCAGAGCATGCTTTCCTAATAGTAACTTTCTCAATTTTAGCATCTTTTAAATCACTTCAAATACAATGATATATGCATGTTGGAAATAAAAAATATGGAAAAAATGTAGCAAGTAGGCATTAATTAAAAAACAACGGGAGTGGTTTATTAAAATCAGGTAGACCCGAGAAGACTATAACTTACCAAAAATAGAGATATATCATAATGATAAAATTATTGAAATGAAATAATGAAAGGGAGGACATAATAGGTACTTCCAGAATTGAAGGAGAAAATGAGGATGGGAGGACAGCCTAAGTTCCTATGCTTATACCAGGGCTCCAGAGCAATCCTGTGATGATGTAAATGTTTTATATCTTGAATTTATCACTATCAATATTTTATTTGTGAAGCCCTATGGCTTGGCGATTAGTTAAAATGAAAACTGGGTAAAGTTTATTTGGGATCTTTCTGTGTTGTTATTATTTCTTACAGTTTTGTGTAAATTTACAATTGTCACAAAATAAAATGTTTAATTAAAAGTGAAAGGTGAGAAATGTCAAGTTACATTCAAAGGATATCCCATCAGGCTAACGTTGGACTTCTCATTGGAAACAATGCAAGCAAGAAAAGAATGGGAAAATGTAATCACAGTGTTAAGTGAAAAACAATTTCAACCAAAAATACTATACCCAGCAAGATTATCTTTCATATGGGAAAAAAAAAGACAAAAACATTCTCAGATAAACAAAACCTGAAAGAATTTACCAACACCAGACCAGCTCTCCAAGAAGTGCTTAAGGGAGTGCAATACCAGGAAAACTAAGGTTGGACACACAGAATTAAAAAGAAGAAGAAGAAGAAGAAGAAGAAGAAGAAGAAGAAGAAGAAGAAGAAGAAGAAGAAGAAGAAGAAGAAGAAGAAGAAGAAGAAGAAGAAGAAGAAGAAGAAGAAGAAGAAGAAGAAGAAGAAGAAGAAGAAGAAGAAGAAGAAGAAGAAGAAGAAGAAGAAGAAGAAGAAGAAGAAGAAGAAGAAGAAGAAGAAGAAGAAGAAGAAGAAGAAGAAGAAAAGAAACCTGAAAAATTTACCAATACCAGACCAGCTCTCCAAGAAGTGCTGAAGGGAGTGCTATACCAGGAAAACTAAGGTCGGGCACACAGAATTAAGAAGAAGAAGAAAAAAAAACAAACAAACCCAAGAGAATGGCCATCCTGATGGTAGGGACAAGCCCAGAGTTAAATTAACTTCCAGAGTTTCAATGGAAAGATCAGACCACAGTAACACTGCAAATTGAATTGAAAAGAGATTAATAAATTAGACTGAACTGGTGAAATAGATTTTTCTGGCTTTAGACTAAAACATTATTTTTTTCTATGCTTTGATTTCCAGATTTAAGGATTTTTGTCTTCTCTTAAACTGTTGATAGAGTCATCTACCTACTTTCTGAACTGAATCCTAACCTTTTCCCTGGCTTTAAATCTTAAGCAAATTTCTCTTAACATTTTTTATTTTTAGCTGTTAAAACTAAAATAGTTTTTCTCGAAATTAAAAAAATTCATTAAAAATACATATTTAATGACTGCAGTAAGCTATATAGTCCTAGCTAGTGCTACTTTATACTATGTTCACTTTACTCACTGAAGCCTAAAGTTGGACATGTGTTCATAGATATGTATGTATAAGCTATTGAAAGTTTTTAAATTAATTAAGATCTTCAGTGAATCAATAAAATGTGAAAAAAAAAAGTCATGGAAAACAACTGTAGATACCAGGAACAATGTGGAAGGAGGGGGGAAATGGCAGGTGAGAGGTAGAGAATCATGGGGGGGAAATATGTGTAAGAAACAAGAAATGTAAAACTATTTGTTGATGATGACATGTATGGTAATATCCTTGATTGAGCCAATATACAGTGTATTCTGGGTGGAAAATTTTATTTTGTATATTGTACTTATGTACCATGAATGAATGCAAATAAATAAAATAAATTTAAAAAATGAAAGGTGGTAACATCTAAAAGTATATTTTTAAAAAGCACATTTTTTCCCCAGAAAATTTATATTTTTGCTTGAAATTGTATTCAGTATAGTAAACCCTTGTTTACCTTTATGGTTCTAATACAATTATGGTTTTAGAAATCCATCAAAGTTTTCATTTAAAAAACTTCAATGCACACAAAATATACATTTATAGATGCACTTAGACTGCATGTGTTTATATGAGCAAATACACTTGTAATTTTCCCTGCCCTGAAGATATTCAGTAGAATTTTTATGAATGATAATGTACTCAAGGGGCTATGTCCCCAAAGACTTTATTTTTCACAAATATAGCCTAGCTTTACAGGGATAATCTTCTGGCATATTCCCTTATTGTTGAGGCACATATATCTACAGGTAATAATTTTTCTTTCGCTACAGAAATGTTCTTCATTTTGTTATTAGAAGTTAAGAATTGATTATATTAAGATGTTAATCATTTGTTACACATCTACTTATTTCTATGACCAATAGTTGTATTATCAAGGACATTACCTTATTCAATGCAAGAATCTTGGGAGATACATATGTATGCATTTATTTTTTAAACAAATAGAATAAAGAAGGGTTAAAAAATTCATGCAAATTGTCTAAGATTCTATAGATCAGCAGTGGAAAAGCTGGAATCTCATGCCAGGCTTGTATGGTTCTAAAGCTTACGGCATTTCTGTCCAACATGTTGCTTCCATGCCATATGGCTTTCCATCCAACTCTGCATCTGTGTCACACACATGTGTTTTCCTTACAAGTTTAACTTTTCATTTTATTTTTTATTAACCTTTTTATTTTGAGGTAACTGTAAATTCACATGCAATTGTAAGAAATAGTACTCTTCTCCTAATATATGGCCATGCCTACTTAATGAAGTTCCTCCCTCTGTAGTGTAAAAGATAAAGAAGCTAGAACTCTGGAGTTCAGACTCAAAATTACATGGTGTGGGTACCATGGCACTCTATTGCTGAAATAATTCATTATTGTAGCATCTCAATTACTAATAAAACTGTAACAATAAGATGGGATAAGTACATGACCATCAATATGGACATTGTGTGTGTATGTGTGAAAGTGTGTGTGAGAATGTGTATAGGATTAACTGTTTGACCTTGATTCTTGAAGGAAAATTAGAGTTTTTTTTCATATTTCAGTTTCTCTCTATTCCTCACGAAGCACCTAAATTAACAACATGAAAAAAATGTGAGTTGAGTTTATGTTTTTTAAAAAAGTGTTTAGTAAATCAGCAGACAGCACAGCGGTTACATCGATGGACTCCCACATGGCCTTCATGGTTAGAATCCTAGACCCGGTGTCTTAAAAATCATGCCAGAAAAGGGATTGTGGCTTGGCAATCCCTCTTGAAGGGTGATTTTTGCTTTCTGTCTCTCTATCTCTGTCTGTTCGGTGAGCACACATGGCCTACAACAAAAATCTCTCTTAAAAATGGTGGAGGGGTATTGAGAATTCTTTACTTGTATCAGTAAATACTTACACTATTAAGTATTATATGAGATGTTATGTGTATACCTGCTTTTCCCTAAACTAAGGAGCGTCGCTGCTTTTGTAGTTTTCTTATACAGTTATTATAGAAATAAATGTGCACATAACACAGCTTTATCCCATTATAATATCTGCTTACTTTCTTTCAGTGAACACTATTCCCAATAAGATGGGGACTGTAAACTACACAACTGTAACAGAGCTCATGATTTTGGGGCTAACAGAAGATGCTACAGTGTGTGCCGTTTTGTTTGTTGTGTTTCTAGGAATCTATGCTGTCACCTTAGCGGGCAACATCAGCATAATCACGTTAATCAGAAGCAGCCCTCAGCTAAACACCCCAATGTACCTTTTCCTCAGCCATCTGGCCTTTGTGGATATTGGGTATTCCTCATCAGTGACACCTGTCATGCTCATTGCCTTCCTCAGAGAAGGAATATTGATCCCTGTGGCAGGCTGCGTGGCTCAACTCTGTTCTGTGGTGACTTTTGGGACGGCTGAGTGCTTCCTGTTGGCTGCCATGGCCTATGATCGCTATGTGGCCATCTGCTCTCCCCTGCTCTACTCCACCCGCATGTCCCCTAGAATCTGCATTTTCCTACTGGGGATGTCTTATCTGGGTGGGTGTATAAATGCTTGGACATTTACTGGTAACTTATTACGTCTGTCCTTTTGTGGTCCAAATAAAGTCAATCACTTTTTCTGTGACTATTCGCCACTTTTGAAGCTTTCTTGTTCTCATGATTTTACTTCTGAAATAAGTCCAGCCATTTCTTCTGGCTCCATCATTGTAGTGACTGTGTTTATCATTGCTCTCTCTTACGTCTACATCCTCTTCTCAATCCTGAAGATGCGCTCCACTGAGGGGCGCCACAAGGCCTTCTCCACCTGCAGCTCCCACCTCACCGCAGTCACTCTGTACTATGGGACCATTACATTCATTTATGTGATGCCCAAGACCAGCTACTCAACTGACCAGAACAAAGTGGTGTCTGTGTTCTACACAGTGGTCATCCCCATGTTGAACCCCCTCATTTACAGTCTGAGGAATAAGGATGTTAAAGAATCCATGAGAAAATTTATGGCTAGGACTCGGTGGTGGTCCTAAATAAACCTGATTTTGGTAATAAACACCATATATCAAGGAAAGTTCCTGCAGGAGAAAGAACAATATACCAGATAATTTTCAGTGTATATTTATGATATTCTATGCTCTTACATTTTTGTCTCTTTCTCAGAATATTTCAGCGTAAAATATAGACATGGATTCATTAAGATAGAAGCATTTAAGAACAACAACAAAAAAGGCTTTATCCTTCCTCTACCCACCAGGTCTTGTGTCTTTAAGTAAAAATTTTCAAACATATATTCTGTGCTCTTTAAATGAAGTCTTTGGAATTAATAGTTGTGGACGCATTCAAACCCCCTTGAATGAGACATAAAAGAGTACTGTTGCCATCCAAGCCCTCCTATGTGGAAGAGATGGTCTTTGAGCTCTGCAGCACTGTAGATGCTGAAGCTAGTAATGCAGGTGGTTAAAAAGCTTGTTTCTCTTAATCTGAGTCTGACCAACAGAATTCCTCCCACGGTACTTCTGCAGACGAGCCTGATATAGCCATCTTGGAATACTCTGAACCTTTCCTTGGCTACTCATGCTTCCTTTTCAGGAATATACTCCACAAACTATCTTAAAGAGTTTCTAAAGGACAGCCTATTGAAGGCTAATTGGAACAGCCTGGCTCCTGTGGTGATAAGATGTAAAGAACCATTTTTAGGTTACTTTTTTCAGGGGATATATATGTCACACACTTTTGTAATGTCTATTGAGCCACCTTTTTTTATCGTCTGTGATATTGAAAGTTCTTGGTTTCTTACACATAATCTCACTAGAAATGTCACAACTTTGAAAATGCCCTCCCTTTGGCAGATTAACCTTAATTTTTAGAATTTAAAAGTATTTACCTTAGTAAAGATCATCCTATTTTCTGTCTGAATATATTTTAATAGTATAGTATTTTTAGAAACCTGAAGTTTTCCTTTAATTAAAATGCCAACATTAGATTAAGGATTATTACTATTATTATTATTATTATTATTATTATTATTACTACTACTTGTCATAGGGTACATGCACTCACTGGAGAGATAAAGAGAAAGAGAGAGAAAGAAAGAAAGTGAGAAATCACTCCCTGGGAGGATGGCCATGCCACAATACCTTCTCCTTATGCTCCTCTAAGGATTTGGGGGCATTCATGCACACGCAATGTGGTGTTTTCTGGTTCTGTTCTGAGACTAGAGTTAGCCATGTGGGATCCATCATCTTAATCATCATGCTACCTGCTGGCCCAATATCAGAGTAATTTTAATAAAAGTTAGTTATATAATGGGATCTTTCTATTTAATATTCCACTGTAATTCCACTGTTTTCAACATTAAGTCTAATATCTTTAAGTACTTGAAGTAGTATTCATATTTCCAGGCCTCTGTAATTTAGCTATAATGGTAGAATTTTGAAACGGAAAGTCTGGTTAGAGTCCCCTGTATTCTACCTCTCCACGATCCTCCAATATATTTTTTAATGAGTTTTTTTTCCATAGAGCATATGCATGTGCCAGAGAGAGACAGAGAAGATGAGAAAAAACCTCGTGGGAGGATGGCCACACTACAATCTCTTCTCCACCATTGCTCTCTCAGGATTTTGGACCTGTATACACATGCATCCAGGGTGATTTTTCATGTCACCAGATATAGGACTTTAACCACAGAACTGGCCATATGAGATCCAGTGCCTTAGACTCCATGCCACCTGCTCGCCCACCCTCCAATAATATTTAAACATTGAATTCCTTAAATTAAATTATTTTCTGTTCTAAACAATTAGAAGATTTTTTTCTCTTTGCTAAACTAATCCTGACTGCTCTACACCAGGGGCCTCATCTAGGGTCAAAAACTTCATACCCAAATGGCACAAGATAACCATGATGTCCTCTGGGATTATTATACCTATATCAAGAGAAAGAAGGTTACTCTTGCCTTCTAGA